GTCGGGTTTCACCCTTGCTGCGATGACAGCCGTTAATCCCTGTAGTTTGTCACTGCCCGTGTGTCGAGCCCTTAAGAAGTTGTGTGATTGATTTTTTTTGCCAACATCTGACCCTACTAATGAATAGAAAATGGGATGTTTTGTCTGTAACAGTACACGTGGCTTTTGAAATGTCTAGTAATGTCGTAAAATGAAAGAGTGAGCATATAAATGCAGTGGGAGTTAAAAAGTTCAGGTAGATCAGTGTTCATGAGAGCTGGGATCACATGTATGTTAAGAATGTGACTGCTAGAGATTAATTGCTTTTCTATAATATTTTAACTGGTAGTATTCTTGGGAAAATGTTACCTCTTTTACCTTTTGTGTATTCCTTTTCTTTTTTGTAGTTACTTTTAGTGAGGCCCGTTATTCTGAAGATGACACAACACAACATTGAGGATTATACAGGGAATATGTTCAACTGGGCTAAGAATAAGGCAAGCAGCTGTTAATGAGGTGCTACAGTGAATGCTTATTTTCTAATTTGATGCCTCACTGGGTCCATCAAGTTTTCACTGAGCTGGCTTGTATTAGCTTAATAAACAAACCAAACTGCCATTTAAAATCAGAGCTGCAAGGGCCAGTCGTGAGCTCGCATAGAGGGTGGCACTGAACTTGTGTTCATATTGGCAAATCACATTCAGTCGTTGCTCAAAGCCGCATTATTAACCCAAAACAAGAGGTTTTGTCCTGGCTGGTTCAAGGTCATTCAGTGTAGGAGATGCTAACTGAAGCTCATCTTTGGGAGTGATAGACATCAATGACAAATAAATGCAAAGGTCTCAGCAGCCTGAGTGCATTTGGTCAGTCTTAGGTTACAGCCCATATTTCAAAATTAGAAGATTATTTGAAAAGTTACAAAAAGGTAAAAATTCAAAGAATTGTTGAAACTTGTTTTAATAAGAGGCTGTTCTTTTGTTTTGTTTTTTTACTCTCACCTGATAGTAGTACCACAAAGTAGCGGTAATGCCTCATCATGACCACTACAGTGGATGCTATTTTCAACAAAGATTGCTCTTTGATTTACATAAGAAAAGACCGTTATAGTCTTCCCCCGATGTGACTGTGCAAAATGTTAGAATAAGGTTTATAAAAGTATAGAGGACAAAAAAATGGGATTCTGTATTATTGTACAAATTAATCTTACTAGATAGCCAAACTTTGTGGCTACAATTTCAGACAGAACATTGATAATAAAAAGGCCTTACCTGGCCATTGCAACTCCAAAAATACATCCACCAACTATGGACCAGAATCCCACCCAGCCTGCGTTCACCTGTGAGAMAAGAAAGAAAATGGATTATGGGTTATAGAGAAGTACTGCAGAAGAGCTGAGTGTCTGAAGCCTGCTGAGATCTTTCAGTCACCATGTCCGGTCTGTTGAMAGAGCAGCAAGTGTGTAAATGTGAAAAACTGTTGTCCTTTCTTATTTAGGGGAATGGAGGCTAACACAGACACTAAAAGTCAAGAGAAAGACAAATATGGCCAAGGGACTACAACAGAATCAATAAACAGTAAAGTACTTGATGTGTGACAGTGACACACACTCAACCAATCAGCGTGAAATACCCAGAAGAAAACTCCTCAAAGTGCCAATGAAAGGTGTTTGGTCTCCTTGAGGCCATAAATCACATTTAACTAGGGCTGCACCGATTAGTTGAAATAATTGATGACGTCGATTATGTAAATTTGTCGACGCAGATTTTTTATTATGGATTCTCTGTATTACATAACACCACGTGAATGTTCATGTAATTCTATTTTGGTACCCAAACGCATCATTACGACCGTATTCGGATAAGAGTGGTGAGTTTTCCATGCTTGTCCTGAACGCAGCATCACAAGAGCGTAATGATG